AACCCCCTGTTGAATGAATAAACAGCTCATGACATGCCTTTCCAGATTTAGTAATCAGAATCCATTACTTATTCTGAAAGCAANTTCTAAGAGATTATTAATCTGGTTTATACTGCCTCTATATATTCAGGTTCGCAATTCTGAATTCGGAAGAGATTTTCTAATGAATTGGGCAGATCGAGAGTTCACATTACACGAGCGTTGGCACGGGCTGGACAATGGAGTTTTGCATGTATGAATCTTCCTTTCAAAGATTTACCTTGTTACTTACCATCAAATATGTACGGCATGCAAGATCAGGAACTCGTAAGCTCTGCCAAAACCACTTCTTGGTGTCATGACCATAGAGAGGTTTGTTTGTTTGATTGATTGGCTCGCCTATCTACTTATTCATTTATGTCCTTCTATTCGTTTCTTTGTGTGTCCTCGGTGTATGTTCGACCAGAAGTTCATAGTTCCTGATCTCCTAAACCTAGAATGTTCAGATTTAAGGGTTAGAAGTCGGGAGTTTCGAAGAAGTATAATAGGTAGAAGGGGCCTCAGGAGGAAAGAATCACAAAAGTATTTTCGCCGTTTTGCCCTGTTAGTAGAGCCTTGACAGTTTGGTAGATAATGGAGAGTTCGATGGCACCGTAGACTATGCGCGTGATAGGATTTTATAACAACTGATAGAGGATGATAAGAGGCTTTGTCGCTGTGTCGACCACGCCCTTCATATGAATCGTAAGACCTTCACACTTTGTGAGTGATATGAGGTGTAAAGGAATGGGATATGGTTGGGTTGAGATAGGAAGTAACAACAACAACTGATAAGGGCTGATAAGAGACTATAGAAGGTAGTGGAAAACGATAACAGAGAAGCTGCCAAAGGCTGATGAAGGACCTCACAATCAGAAGCAACTTAGGCCCTGACTCTGCTGATATTTACGATGAAGCTCTGACATTTATGTATGATTCATACATTAAGAGGGGATAGTGAAGTAGTTCAGCCAAAAGTGAGTGATAAAACTGTGATAAGGAGCGATAGTAATTAGTCCTACTAAAGGACTATCCCTTGCCATTAGATCACGACCAACACGTATTAAGGTTCCAAAGTCAAAAATAGACTAAAATTTCACTACTTTATTAATTGCAACAAAGCATACATATCCAAAAACGAACACTGAGGAATTGACTGACGGTTTCTATGCGTGACTATAGGAAAGACCATGGATAGCGGCTTCTGTTTTTGGTGCTATCGTTAGGCGACAACATTAGTAGGTACCTACTGTTATGACTGAAAGCAACAGACTGAGACTCCGTGATCGTATGCATGTGCACCAACACACGCTGAACGACAGTTGCAACGCTGTTTATCCTAATTCCCGTGTTTTGGAACCCTCTGTTAAACTGTAATGAATAAACAGCTCATGACATACCTTTCCAATATTTAGTAATCAGAATCCATTACTTATTCTGAAAGCAAAATGAAAGGTAAGGCGAGCATTCCGACTTCGTCAGAGGAAGGAGGTGACCCCTTATAAGCAAGGCGATCAGAGGAGTTATTTCATGAATTCATATATACTAAAAAACCTTACACTGTCTCCGAAATAGTAACTGTTTCAGCTCCACGTATTGGATACGCTCATTCCTGACGCTATACAGGAGAGGAAGAATTGCCATGATGTATGGCTTCATGCGACCTCGTATGATACCTATATGGCCGTCGTATCTTGCGTCAGACAGGCACTTGGAGCCACACGTTTATGGCCAGGGAAATTGCGTCTCTATAGAAAAGCCCATGGATGGGTCCGTGATGGCTATCTCGCCAACAGCAAGTAAATTGATTAAATTGTGAAAAAAGTAGGGTTGAAATTTGCATGAGGTCGCGTACAAAAGCATGATAATAGAAGCGGAACGCTCATGAATTACTAATTATGTTATTAGGATTTACCACCAATTACAGCGAGGATTTATTTCAAGGTGGCACGATGGAGATTTCATGTTTCATTTATGGAAAGGTAATAATTTAACGGATGATAATTGGAGATCACCGTTCACTGAAATGCCAGACCTGAAGTCGTGTGGCAACGGAAGGAACGGCTGGCATTGGGATGAGACGAAACATGTGAATGTTGAGGAAATCAAGTCAGTTTGATTCTTATCGAAAGACAAGGTTTTCAAATTGGTAACACATTCTCCCTCTATTTGAAGCAGTAAATCCCAGTGTCGGGTTAAGGTTATTCCAACGGTCTGCCTGTTTGTCCGCGAAACTTACTATCCTTACTAAATGTAAAGCGGGAAAAGGTGGTTAGAGTTAATGGAACGAATGTGGTGAAATCCTCGAAATGGGCGGAGTTGGCACTGAAGTGGGCGGGGCTCAGATCAAATTTCCGTAACTCTGTTCAGAAACATTCTAGATAAGGGAAAAAGTGGTTAGAGGTAATGGAACAAAGGTGGTCAAGTCGTCGAAGTGGGCGGAGCTGGCATAGGAAATGAAAAAATGAATGTGGAGAAAATGGTTAGGAGCACTTAGAGGAGGGGTGGTCGAGTTTTTCTTGTGGAAAGGGTCTGCCTTGAGGTGGACGGGACTATGATCAACCACTGATAACTCTGCTCGAATGGAATATATCGACCATGATGCTCTCAGCAGATCAGCGTTCAAATCTAGAGAAAACTATCTTATTCTGATAATCCAACATCCCGCTGAATGACTCCATCGCAGACAAGCAGTCGTCGACATATCGACGACGTCGACGCTAACGCGTGCTTAGTCCAACTGGTGTTTATAATGAGGGAATTGATATCGAGATTTTACTCCCAGCTCGATTTCTAACAGTAAGGAGGAAGTCTAGAAACGGTAGGTAGCCTGGTTTGGTGTGACTATAATGATGGCATTAACGTAGGACAGAACTCTACCTATATGGATGTCTAGCCCACTCTGCTGATTACGACCAACTGGCAGCGATTCATATCAATTTGTAGTAATTTGTAGTGCTGGTATCTATGAATTGGTTTCGTATCTGAAGTAGAACAACCAATCGTTGATAGAGAAAAGAGTTTTTTGGATGAGAACCTCGCCACTACGGTATTGAAGGCACAGACCGCGATAAATCTGATTTCTGAAATTTCCTACCGAGCCTGTACATCAAAGATGCCACATGGAGCGCTGCCGGGCCTAAAAGTTGCCTAGATAGAGTGCATGCAACATAAAAGACAAAATGGGCTGCTTCGGTCGACGCCATATGTGGAAGCGGGCTTCTAAATTCTTTACCATTCACAATTAAACACCTATGATGAAACTTTAAACAGCTGATCGTCCGAAGCTGGGATTTGGGACATAATGGAAGCCAATTTTAGGTAGCCGTGTTACTGTAGCCAACTATCTATGCAATTGCACACGACTGAAATCTTGTCCTAACACCCCTCTCTTCGTTATAATTTCGCACAACCTGAAATCAAACTAGGTTTAGGTTTATACAAGCAAATTTCAACGAAGGTATCGCATTATCTGCCCCCAGTGCACTGATACATTCCAAATGTCATTTTTCTATTTAGTTGAAGGTTTCTATGCTTTTCAGAACTGATTTGGCAAACTTTGAGAAATATTTGGGTGAAACGTATCCTTCATATGGAAAGCAAGTGTTCTTTCTCGAAATGCCGGTCATCGGACAATGCTATCCCGATTGTGAACGATTAACATAGCATGGATTTTCAATCTCCATGAAATTGTTAATATTTACATTATTAAATTCCTCATCTGTTGATCAGGATTTTCTACTAAATAAAAATGAAAATTCTATGATCTTAAGATATCTAGCATAACCTAACGAAAGTCAAATGATTGTGAGAAGAAGACTTTTCAGTTGTGACTCCATCAACACAATAATTTGTGTGACATCTACCAGCAGCAGGCTTTCTAGGGTTGTTTCCTGTCAGCTAAAGCTTGCCAAACCTTTCAGGCTCTAAAACTGCTGGAAGGGCAAACACTTTGGTGCGATATCGGATGCCATGAACTACCATTCAATCGAGAAATTATCACAACACAAAAAATGTACGAATTTGAAATGATTGAAAATATAGTTTGGGGGGCCACCTCTCTCCTCTGATACTATCGCAGGTAGAATGGATAGCCGTCTTTGCGAGCCCTTAATGATGATATCCAAGCAGGAATGCTGGAATGCTAGCACGTCACCGCTTACACTTGTGAAAAGAAAAGAATTAGTGTCTTTGTTCAATTCATACCCCATCCCAGCTTTTCCCCGAGGTGACCTCCTCATCCACCCTGTGCTCCTCCCCTTCTATGGCTTAGTTGAAAGAAAAACAATGTTCACCTAGCTAAAAACGTTTTGAAGCACCGCTACAGTCCCGCAATGACGGCTACTTCTCCTTCTATGCACCTTGGGGAGCATATGCGGTGCACTACCTCAGAATTCCGTACCAGGTCGAGCCAAATTGATGTTTTGCACTCTACATGAGGAACTTTATGGTTGCTTAGGGAGCATTTCGATGGTAATACCAAAAAGTTCAACAGACCAGATTTCTTCTGTTCAATACCATGAAAGACAATGTGTTAGATGCCGATAGTCAAGTGATATTTGTTCCCACTGATCCTTTCATGGATACTCAATAGGCTGCATTGCAAATGGTAACCAATATACACAAAAAACCAACAACGTAATTGTTCTTTAGCCCCTGCCTCCTCAATAGGGCGTGGTCTATCGGCACTGGGAGCCTTGTCACAAACTAAAACGGAGCCCTTTCATTTTTCGTACTTCCGCAAGTCCTCTTGTGTCGTTGATGCCCCTTTGAATCCTCACTTAATCCACCTTTGGTTTAACTGCTATAACTGCTATAAGAATGAATACGCAAATTAGAAATAAAGAAAAAAAAANATCATTCCTTTTCATTTCTGTCAGCATGCTCCGTTTTCTCGGAGCATTCCGTTTTGTATGTTAATTATAAGCAGAGTTAGCTAAAATCCGGTCGACAAAGTAAGATGACGCCGTTCACGCGGGGGAGCTCGGGACTGAGCTTTGAGCTTATAATTAGCATGGAGATGGCTAAATTTCCGGAGGGCATATGTCCAGAAACTTGAGCGTACACTTCCGACCTGTTCATGCCCTTCTAATCGAAGGATTCGGGTATCACCGAAGGGGACCTGCGTCCGGTAGTTGCTCCTCAAGAGTAAGGTGGCTGTCCTGTTAGAGTGATAGGACAGGGTGGGACAGAGTGGTGAGCAAAGGAAGATCACTCAAAAAACTTCGTTTTTCTTTCTGCTAAGCAGCAGAAATAATCGTCTGATACGAAGTAGCGCAGTATGAGGCATCACGCTCAACTACCACTGAATTGACCAACACTCAGCTCATCCCCATACTCCGAACTGTTGCTGCATGTTGCCCTCTTACGCTGAGTGTCGCCTGATGGCGCTTGCTGCCCACCACTGATGTTCAATTTCCCACTTATCAGTCTCCAAACGAAGGCGCGTATGTGAAAAGGCATTTCCAGTTACCCTCACATTTTGAAAGCTGTCAGTGACGGATTTAGCGCTAAGGGGACGTTACTTGCTGATGTAAACCATATTCAGAAGCACCACGTAGCGCCAAGAATTACTTGGTGAAAATCGTGGCAACATCTGACTGATGGACGTTCAGACTACGTAATGGCTTACATGGGATTACTAATTTTGAAGATATAATATTAATGGCGATTTTCCGAAAGAGCTGACTTCCGTACCACCGGAATACCGGAGCAAAAAAAGCTTGATTGGCTAAGAGGTGTAGCCCATCTCAAAATTAGACTAAGAACCTTTCGAGGTACACTGAAAGGTAACTATCATTTTCTCACTGTCTTGTGAATTGAACTAAGTTCTACACCTAGGAAATCTTATAGAATTGTTCTGCAGTCTCGAAAAACGGCCAGGATAGGGCGTAATAAGGACTGTCGGCTTGAGACGTACATCATCTGAGGCGGACGAGTTCTCAAGTGTTGTCATTCGCACCGGGACCCTCATCCTGCATGCAGGCAGCTTATCGCAGCCAGCTGTACGCAGTGGCACATACGTTTGGACAGTTCGTCCAAATACTCTTCCATGAAATGTTTGTCGTCACATTCTCGTCCAACGTCCAACCATGTCACTACTTTTTTGAAGCCTTGAATAGGCCGATTTTTGCGTGTTTTCCAACACTTTTGCACTGTCCTGGACTATCACTTCCATTATTCGTCTCAAATAATAATAGATACCCAAAATTATCGTGAACGTGCCTTTAATTGTCGGTCAATGTGTGCTCCTTGGTATAATCATACACAGATGATGGGAAAGCAACAAAACACCTATCAGAGCACAATCTGAACAAACAGTTACAATATGAGAGAAAATTTAAATAGTAACCGGTAAATGGAAACGGTCTGGCTTACAGAATGCAAAACATTTCCCTTTGACAACTTCTGTTGAATGGCATTGGAAGGGTCCGTCCCATCTTGTAATACGTTCATTAATTCAGTGTTCCCATTGAAGAGATAAACTTCGACCGATACATCTGCACCACACCCACCCCGAGAGCTATGACAAGTCATGCGCGAAGTAGATTGCTATGAGGGCAGAGACCATCATGATATGCGGAAATTGCAAAAATGATGGCATTGCTTGCGTCAGAAACATCTCAACCTGTGATTGAATGGTGCACAAAAATTATCAGAGCATCAGACGTTCTCTCATCATCCCACGGAAGGTAGCAACTATTATTTACTATGAACTAGGAACTAGTACTATGATTTGAGCGCCGGCCTCAAGAGGGTGACTTGTAGCACTTTAGTAGGTCTCCAGCTAGTTGATGGTAAGAGCGAAAACTGGCCAGGACCACTTATCCTTATGCCACGAGTTTTTGGGAGACGGGCAGTAGGTACGGTCTTGTGGAATCGATCCGCCGCACGCGGCTGTCGCGGACCATTTGCCTCATTATGACAGTTCTAGAGTTCTTCATACAGCTCAATCGCCGCTATACGATTATTACCTCTGGTATGATTCTACTATTACTTCTTCTGTTCCTGTATTTCTTACTTGTCGCGACATTCGTCTACATTCCTTCGCGCGCGACGTCACTCTCGCCGCGACGCGACAATTTTTTTCCTACCGCACCATCCCCGAATTTTTTGCCGTACTGCTGGTTGCTGCTGGACCACAGAACAATTACCATACCTTAATTTTACGCGAACTGACGGAAAGTACCTCTAGAGTCTATTCCACCTTCCGTCAACCGATTTTCATCTCCTCCATTCTACTCTACAAACCGACGAATTCGCAGGCTCACCTATCAAAATTCACCTGCCTAATGTTCAATAGCGCTCCATATCTTACAAGACTGATTACTAAGAACAACTATGTTCAATAGACGATTTTTTCTGGAGTTAATAACCCCTTTTTCATTTTCTTCACATCCTTCGCTTCTTTTTATAGCTGAATGCGTTTACTATTCATGAGAAAAATCGTTTTTTAAAAGCTGTTAACAAAAAGCCAAACCAAAATTCCGAATAAAATCATGGTTGCCAGCTGTCCTGTACTGTTATCATTGTAGTCTTACACATTAATTCGATTTCTCATTTTTCATATGGTGTTCCAACTACGTATATAAGCGGAACAGTGGTGAAGGCGATATACGCCATGCTTCTCATACTTGTTAGAAACTATGCCGATCTTATTGTTAGAAGACTTAGGTTGTGGTAATCCATAAATCGAAAAGAAAACTTCACTCATAAAATTCAGAACGGTAATGGAATATGTAATTTAAAAAATGTCCCGTAAATATTTAATGTCATTGAAAAACGCCATGAGTGATTCCTGTAAAGCACAAAATGTACTTCTTGAGAGGGATAAGCTCGTTCTGACGTTCTCAACGCCTCTGGCAGAGGTGAACACTCATTTCGAGCACTTTCGATTTCGATCTCGAAACTTTGACGAAGTTTCCTCTCAAATTTGACGTTTAGCATAAAAGACGAAGCGGTAAAAAACTCGATTATAACGAAAAAATTCGATTATTAGTTGCTGCACCAGTGGGAGGCTTGTGCAGAACTAGCGCAAAGCCCTGCAGACGGCTTTAATCCAGTATCGAACTAGTAATCCAGACTGCTCTGAGAAAGGCTTGCTTCGACAATTTTTTTCTTTGAGGCAAGGTTTCAATGGCGAACGTCCGTTGCGCGTGTCCGTCGAAAGTAGGTCACCCCGCCCAGTTCGCGCGCGGCGCAGGTCTCGGGAAGACATTACAGTACCACCAAAAGTGAGTGGAGCGAACGATTTGCATTTGTCCATGTTATCTTCTCCTTAGCTGACTACCGTGGGGAAAGCGCAAATGCCCCGCTTACAGCGCGACGTCTGTCAACTATCGCGGGCTGACCCGCCGCATGCGACGGCTGCGGCGTGACCTAGTTTCGACGGACACGCGCAACGAAGCGCACCCGGTTCCAATTAATGGTTGGCTACGACAGAACCCTTTCATATGGAAGAAAGCATTGTCACATGGCTGACGAGGAGAGTTTTGCTGCAGAGGATCTTTTCTAGCCAAAAATATGCCCACAGGATGTTTCCGTTCCCTTTGAACGATACACTGGTTTCACGGCTCTTCTCCCTCTCCAGCCCGAACGATCGGTTCCTCAACGAAAAGCTCTGTCTCGCGATTCTTTCCTTTGGTGAACTTGTAGCTGCAAAATCCCATTTTCAACAACATCGAAATATCACGGACCATACCCTCAGTGTCTCATGGGCCTCCAGATCCGGGTAATCTGCTTGATATCTCAGCTAGTTTGATTACCCGCAGGTTTTTCAAGCATTTCTGGAACGAAAAATTCGATCACCATGGCAGCACTACACATTGCCTCGACGTTTAACTGAGATGGAAATGGTAGGCTGCACGATATGTATGAGTGGACGAACCCGGGATTTAAGCAGTTCGATCGATTACGTAGATTCTTTTCTGATCTTACGTATTACATAACTTCAACAGCTTTTCAGGAGCTGTAGGTTAAAAACGTATCAAATAAAGGCAATCAAGGTCAAGGTTGAAATTTATAGCTCTCATCGGAGGAATACAACTATCGAAGCGTACAACTTGAGGACTGAATGAGAGTTAGTCCTGTAAACCGTCTGTTATCACTGATTGAAGTGAAAGTTGTTCATTATGACGTAACACATCGGCTTACATCCAAGGGTTATCAGGGGGNGGGGCGGAGGGTGTGGGGGTGGAAGGTGTCCTCCTTATTACTCTGACTTTGACAGGTTCACCATCAGTAGTCATAACTGGAATCATAAATGTGAGCCATTCCATTTGAGCTAATGACCGGCTCGCCTACTCGTACCGACTAGAAAAAGGTAGTTTGATAGTGAGAGAGCGAGAAAGGAACACCCTCCTTCTTTGTTATCATCACATCATCTGATGGCCCCGGTGATTCGAAAGTATTATCAATTACCGCTAATGATCACTGTTGATCACTCTTTTTTTATATCGTTTTTTCTTGTCTGTTTTAGCTACGGTTTTCCGTGAAGTACCCGCGATAAAATCATGATCAGCCTCTAAAACTTTGCCTACACCTTCGAAGATCCTTACTTCTATAGATATTCACGATTTGCTACGGTGACTAGGTAAGCTATTTGTAACCACTACGTTCAGATACGGCGATTCTGTAGACTAAACTTCAACTACCTCCGGGACTGACGCAATTACCACATTGACGAATAAGTTTTAAAAGACTTTTCATCTACGAGGAAGCCTCATGGTGAGTTCATTTTATTTGGAGAAACGTTTTGATATTTCTGGCCTCATCAGTTTGAATACGTCATTAATTGAAGTTATTAGTTAGTTCTAAATCTAAGTAAAAAGAAATCTGTATGCTTGTGAATACTCTAGGTTCGTGCAAGGGCGCCTACTTGGGACANATCGCTGTGCCTGCCGCTTAACCTCCCACCCAGACCATTGAATGTTCTGCGCAAGCTCCATGTTTACTAACTAGTCTATCCTAACCAAATGTCCTTCTTCAGTTCCAAATGGTTCTATGACCACAGCTTTACAAACTTGTTGTTCGTTTGCACGCACCTATTCAGCACCCAAAGTGCTCATTAGCGTTGAACGTGTGAAATCTACCAGCGTTACTCGGGGAGTAATAAGCTGTGCTGACAAGGAGATTATGGTCGTAAAACAACTTCTGCAGGATGCAATAATCATTAGAAGAACATGAAAAATGCGTGAAGCTCGCTTTCGATGGTATAACCATGTCTTACACGCGGATCAAATTAGCGATCGTAAGTTCGACCCCAGCCTTTACGCGTCCGTGAAATGGCCTGAGCGACGCCTGAAGTAGCGTCCCTTGATGAATTGCTTATAAATTCGAACTTATTTGGGCTTTATTTTGACCAGACGTTTAGTGAAAACTAAACTAAACAGAAAACTGTTGTAAATATAAAAAGCGTACATGCTCCGAAATGGGATAAATGCTGGATGAAAAGGAGAGGAGTCATTACATGGTATTTTTTGGTTTAGATTTGGGTGAGGAGAATCAGACCCAATAAGAACCATGATTAGAGGTTATGAGGGGAGATTCATAGTTAAATTAGAAAGAAAGAACAAGCAAACAACGTTTCTCATCCACCCAGATAAGCCAGATACCACTCACCAATAACCTGGAATCGAATTACATTTCCACATTACATTTACTGAAGTTTTATATGGATTCTCTAGTAGCCGGAACTGTTGCTCAAGCTGTTCAAATTGGGGCTAGTTGGCTCGGAATAAAAATCTTTGAAAGAAAAAGACATGTCAAAGGAAACAAACTCCTAAACAATCCTCAAAAGTTGTAGAACACTGATTTCTTATATGTTGAAGAAAGCTTCCAGAAAGTGAGGCAAAGAAGGTTTTTCCCTTTTTTCGCAGTTGATTTCGATCAGTTTTTCTGTATTATTTTCATTTACTTATCGCCACGGCTGTACTCAAAGGCGGTGTGAATGAATTTATTCGAAAGGCTAAGATTGATTAAGTATGAAGAGGTTGTTTTCTAGTACGACGGAAATTCCCATCTACCTCTAGAACCAATAACCTGCTGGTTTTTTTAATGAAATGGCTTGGAATGGCTTTATAGGGAAATAGCCACGTTGATCGTAGGAAGCTTAGGAAACAAGCGTGAAGATTTTTCCAACTCATCTTTGCTGTACACAATTCTTGGGTTAGCAGTATCAAAAGTAGTTCCACCGCCTAGTTTGTACGTCACGGTGATCGATGATGACGTTCTGACGACGATGGATACATGGAATCGGTTCTAGCCCATANTGCCAACTCCATAAAATCTCCTCAATCTTCATCGACATCAAAGAAATATCGAAAACTGACTAGAGCGAAGGCTAGCGCCTCCTCGCGTATACGATTCCGTTGACCATTCGAATGCCTTTACAAATCTACAAAACTATTTGGGTGTACGGCCCATCCCGTGTGTGAATCGATTCGATAAGAAAGCTCCGAATTTCCAAGACTAACTTATCAACAACTTGATAAACTTTAATTATAAAAGTGTAATTCGGGTATATGATGTTCTCCGCCGGAATCGATTTGTTTATAGCTACGGTTTGTTTGGCATTGTGCTTCAAAAATAAACATTAAGTTACGAACAACAGGGTAATGTGATCTAATTCTGGGAGTATCATTCCGTAATGGCATGTTCCGCAAAATCAACTTGTTTACAGAGTTTTAGACTTGCTTTTCGGTAGAGGCTAGGTGGTAAACAAACTGATAAACCATCTAATTCTAGGACCTATACAATGCGACTGACGAGGAGCTGCGCTACGCCTTCAATATCGGCCTCGATCTGGTCATACTCAACGCATTTGCATACTCATTTGAAATCTTCTGCTTAACCTCGTCAATAGTTTTGATAATAACCTACTTGATTGTTTCCAAAATGAATCGACGTTTTCACTCAATTCTCAGGTAAGCCTCATTCACTGTCTATTTGTTGAAATTTCTAATTATCTACATAGTTATTCAATTATAGTAGAAACTAGGTAGTAATAGTATAGTAAGGAGGTCTCCCTTGTGATATTACTGGTTGAAAAAGTGTGAGATGCCTCTGAAAGACTAATCTAGCTAGCATGGGCTACTTTAGTGCTAAGGGGAATTTGTCATCATAGGCAGATTTCGATCCCTCGACCGAATATGTAGGTCAGCGCACACACACACTGAACCAATAATCGCTATGCGTCCACAGAGACCACATGGTTAATAGCCGAATACAATTACGTGCGCTGCAGCTGGAATGATCGGACCAATTTTTCAAATAGAACCAAATTAATTAACCGCATTACCAGAATTACTTATTTGATTACTTCCTTATTCACTATGGCTCTCCTACATATCCATTAACCCATTGACGACAATCACATTTGGCGGGAAAAACCGGACCGCAACCCCCATGTGGACTAAATGGTCCAGGACGACCATTTTTTTGAATTTTGAATTGGGAACTGTTTAATTTTATCTAATTCATAAAGAATAGGATATGGCTACACAATGATGGCAGGCGGGACTTGAATTTTGAACAGCTATTGATGGATTCTGATGAAGAGCAGTTCCTCATTCACTAATTTTTTTAGAGGAAAAATTCGTTGAAGGCCATGTATTCCTTCGAAAAAACGACGGTATGGTATCAAACTGTCCAAATTAGTGCCGCAGATAGATATACCCCAAAAAACAGAGGCAAAAATTTAAGTATGATGTTTATTGTTATTGTTATTATCTCTAAAATTGCAAAATCAGAAGATTTCCTGGAACCACGCAGTACATATTATCACTTTGGCCTGATTTTATGTTTTTAGAAGAGAGTTCGTAAAAAATGGAAATAAAACATAATAAACATAATAAATAAACAAAATATACAGCTGTTGTCCATATGTGGACTGCAGTGTCGTCAACGGGTTAAAATCGAACAAAAATGGAAAAAATCTAAGTTGATTGGCACGCGAGGGTGAAAAAATTGCTCCTCACCCATTGAGAACAGATAAGAAAAACATGNGGGGGGGGGGGGGGGGCAGTGTGCTAGGGAGAGCACGCTTCTCAGACGATCAAAGCGTTGACATAAGAAATCTTGTAAGAAAATAAATTTTTAGTTGGTCATTCATTTGCACGCTGTTTAGACAACACTGTAAAAAACCATGTTCTAGGTTCTGGGTTATCCCTACTTTTGAAAATGCAATTTCAGTTACCCTCCTAGATCTACCACGGTTTGAGATCACCTTCGGGAACAGTTGAAAGCAGAATTTTCGAAAAAAAAAATCTCGAATAAACCTTATTTCCATGAGTTGAAATTTCGAGGAGAACTCGGGGATAGCTTATTTCCATAAGCAGACCAAGTGAGGACCACATTTGACAACTCTCTAGGGACTGCGAAGAAACCGACTTTGGGAGATGCTGGGACAAATCATACCTTCTATTAAGAATTCCTCAAAAATCCAGGAAAAAAAAGTTCTCTAAAATTCCCTGTTTCACTGTTTCTATTTCAGTTCTTTTGTTGATTTGAAATTCAATTATTGGCTTTATTCTTTTTCACCGCACTAGTGCTTTGATCTGAAGAAATTAGGAACATGCGACAGGTACATAAATGGGCACCCATCTAAACCACACCACTTCCCATCTACAGTACCCCACAACTGCTTATTATATGAGAAGTGAGTCAACCAATTCCAACAAAAACCACGCAGCACGCGAACACATGAACGACACTATTATTGAACAGGTGTCGAATTTTTAATGAATATTTTATTGCAGTCATGTCCTCTACGTAAAGGATAAAGTCTTGGGGCATTAATTAATCCCGTCTGAGAGATGCGCCCACGCATTCAACTTTCATTGAGAATCTTAGTGGCGTATTGAATGCGTGTGTGGCCTATACAATGACTTGCGGTCGCCAACGATGTACAAGCCAGTGCTTTTATCCTCCCAGACGAGTCTGGTACCAATTCACCGACCCCGGAGGGATGGAAGGCTTGGTTGGACTAGGCGGGCTATGAGAATTAAGTCCATCTATCATTGCCTTTTATTTGTAAAGACGATTTATGAAGCTCCAGCAAAGTAATGAGTCATAGGAATTCAGCTGTTTGTGACATTCAGTTTCCATCTTTGTACGATTACAGTGTCCCTGTTCAGCACCCAGGCATCACGAATTCCAACAAAGTTATCAACAAAATGAAGAATGAAGCTCGATAGAGCGAAATCATCTCTCCAAGGCCTCTAAGAAAGCCAAAAATGAATCAAATGAAGCGGTGACCGGTTGAATTCATTTGTGCATACGGAAAAGTAGCTGAATTCAATGAAAGTTCAGTTCAAGGAAGAAAGTGGGTTCATTCCGCTCCTAACACGATTTCAACAAATGTTTCTTATTGGCTGAACTGTACACGTCTAACTAAGAGATTCTGAAACTAGTATGGTCAACCATGTGAATAAGAGCTATGCAGGGAGAAGCAAGCAGCTACATAGATAGACACACAAAAAATCAGAAAACTAGTAAAAGGAATCGATGTGATTCGATTTCCTTTCTTTGCCAAAGTATCTGCTCTATGAGCTATTCAAGGACCTTTCTTCCATAAATATCCATCAATTCAGAATCCTCATGAACGCTATGTGCCTTGGCATGCTATTCAACTCCTGCTTTCGAATATTCGTGGCACCGGTACGATTATTTTTAGGTGAGGTGGTTATAATTGCTTTATTTCACTTTTTACATGTAGTTAATCAATTTTCTAGACCTTATGAATTACACCTCGAACGCGCCATGTATTCAATTGTCTTCAAGAACGTAGGGGGCAGGGGAGGGTGTTGAGGCGCTTCTAGTGTATGCAAAGTCTAGCGAGGTTCCAGCCACCGAACAACCGTACACTCAGGGTTTGGCCTTCCCATGAAATCAGCTTAAAGTTACAGTCACAGTAGGTATGGAAGGATGAAACGATGTCTATCATGTCAGAAATCAATCCAGTATTTATGGGTGTTGTCGAAAAGGCTCAGCCATCAAGCCATCTCGGATATTATGACCTTTCATTTGGCTGGATCCACGCCCTTGCCGCTTTCGTCAGAGCCTGGATGCCAAAAACACACCAATGCATCGAGATATACCAAGACTCGACGAGAGTCGATCATGATCAATCCAGTACTCTCGTACATTACCTAAGGTAGAGGCGCCATTTGGAGCCACCTACCTCCGTCCTAACTTCATAAAATATCTCATTATTGGATAAATATAAAGAGCAAGGATTAATGACCGTAATATCACCTCACGGTAGCTTTATAACTGATCCATGAATTCGACGATCCACGAAAAGACATTGTTCAACTTCTCCATTGAACAACCTACTAGTATGGCATTGGTAGAGCAATGAGATTTGAAAAGAATTCCCATGGTACTACTTATGTCGATGGGTTGACCATTAAAAAGGCGACGATATTAGCAGATGCTGATCGCCCACAACTAAAATCATCGTTACCCTCAAGGATGAACATTGTTTTTCTAGAATGCGAAACAACTTAATGGAGCACTCCAGGAGGAATTACCCAATAAGGTCTTCCGCATGTGATCTTTTTTTTGTGAACGGATCCCAGATCTACATTTACTCGAATCAATCAAGCCTTACATTCCTTCGGAGATGAGTAATTTGTGCTAGACTCGTCGACAGAATTGTGTTCTCCAAGGCTTCAGTGAAGAAGAAAGTTTGAGGAGATCTGTTGATGAAGGAAATGAGAAAAATCTCGTTGAGATTTGTGCATGGTCAAAAAGAGTGAATCTGCTGAACATGAGTTCGATCGAATCAGATTGGGGATGGGGTGAATCTGACTTTTTATGGAGTCCGCGTCACTAACTTTTGGATGAGCTGAGCTGCGAAAATGTCAAAAGGCCCTGAGGGAAGTAGACTTTTGAAAAGCTAACCAGCTTTCTAGTTGAGCTCTGAACCACGTTCAGCAAAATCTTGGCCCTGAGCAGCGATGAAGAAGTCATTAAATCTAGATCGGCCAAAGAGGCATGCACATGAGTTTGCGTGAACTGCTCACTCTGTAGAGCCTACCCACAAAATTTACTCAAACCACAGACTCCAAGGTATCACTATCAATTGCTGATTCACTTCTGACTACCCCAGTTCGAACCACTTCTTTTATACCACTAGGATGGTACCACTGCAGATATTAAACCCAGGCCGTCTCATTCTTCCATTTCCTTTTCTTCCACCCATCCTCCCCCTTCTCAAGATTGCTTCCACAGTAGCCTTCTGTCCCCTTCATGAATCTCATTTTGCAAGAAACTATGTACCAGAAAACAATATATTTCAACTATAAGCAGTATAAATGGCGCATTATGTAGACCAACAATAAGATCCAAATATTCTTTCTACTTTCAGCTGTCAAATTATGATTTAGGTCGTGGATACAAAATACCGTGGGTTCAGAAGGTTGATGAACTGTGTCAAGTCGCTCAGCTGATTGCTATTCTCCAAATCGACACAGCTTCATTTCTGATCTCTGTTGAGCGTCTCATAGCTACGATGTTCATACGACGTTACGAGCATATGTTCACCTCGATCGAGCACAGACTCATATTCACCACCGTTTTAGTAAGTTTTTTTCGATTATACGAGTAAGCAAAGGGAAGAGGGAGGGGCAAAACCACAAAACGCAATTTCGAGTGACTCCAAGAAGCTCATTCGACCATCTTTTCTTAGGATAATCGGCCTATTTTCATTCGCCTCCACAAGTTCTTTCCGGGGGACGGTCAAGTCGTGCGTCCGAGGGCGCGCGCGCGGCAAATTGCGCGGCGAAGTTCATACCTATTCTGACGACTTTAGCGCCTATTATTTGGGTCCAATTTTGAAGTACAGAAGAATAGTAGAATCAGCTGACCTTATTAATCTACCTTACTTCAGATTTGGGCCTCGAAGATAAACGCCGTAGCCGTCCCAATCCGTCACGAACTTCGCCGCGCAATTTGCCGCGCGGGCCCTCGGACGCACGACTTGACCGCATGGGTTACCCGGAACCACTGCAATATCTGCATTTGCGCTACAGGAATCTTTATTACTCTCAAGTGTTATAGTGGGGGGGGGGATGGAACATTCACCCAGAACTGGATGGACGCGGCAAACCGCTCGGCAAAATTCGTGGTGTTTGAAACGACTATGGCGCCTATCATTGGGGCACGAATTTGAAGTGAGATAGACAAGTAGCATCAGCTGGCCCTACTTATCCAATCTACGTGAAACCCGTGCCTCAATGATAGGCGCCAAAGCCGATTTATTCACTACGAATTTCGCCGCGCGGTTTGCAGCGTCCGTCCAGTTCTGGGTGAATGTACCCACACCCGTTATAGTGGAGATTAAAGAATCTATAGCTATGTGCAAATTAAAAGCTAAACATTACTCCTACAACTGCAGCATTCATGAATTTAAATTTTCAGATTTTTACTTTATATGGAGCATCATTCTACTTGTATATAGCTCGAGGTGATGTATTCGTTGAAGCAAATCAAATAACAATGATGGTTATGTCATATGTGATGATGGCAACTAACATAACTGGATTAGTGGTGAGGAAATGCTGGCTTGCACTTTCTTGCAAATTTACACTTGACGAAAATGGTTCCCGAAATTTCTTCTTGGTTAAACCTGAGAACCTTAAGGATAGCCTAAAGAACACTGTCAACTCGAAAAACGATCAAGATAAGGCGTAATAAGGGCCCTAAAGCCGACGTAGCCCGCGTGCATAACCAAGTGGACGAGTTGTAATGGATGCACTATTCGCACTGGGGCGCACTCCTTGCACGCAGACACCATAGGCTTCTTCCACAGTCCGCCGTCCGGCCCGCGAGCGCGCCGGCCGGGGGACTACTCGGCCAACGGTATCGACCAAGATTCATTTGTAAACAAGGGGCAGGCACCCCGCCGCCCCCGGCCGCCGCACTTTCTCGCTCGCTCACTCGCCGGCAGGCGGTCTATGAAAGCAGCCATACTGCAGCTAGTAGTATGCAGGGGTGCGCGCATTAGAACAGCTCGTCCAAATACCCTCACATAATTACCCCAGAGTTATCGTGAACTGTGCCGCAAGGTGCACCCTTAATCCCTTTGGCCACCGTAGCCCGATTGATTTACAGTACAACAAATATCTAAGCTTGAAGCAAATCCGCTCGAAAGATGGAACAAAATACAGCAAAGTCTGGGGTCCCAGGTCAATGCTTCGATCACGTGAATATGGTTGACGGGCAGTAGGATCGGTTTTGTGCAATCGATTCGCCGCGCGCGGCAGTGGGTGACGGACCCTGTTCTTCTTATTTCCCGCTAGGTTCTGCAACATTCCTTCGCGCGCAGCGTCTCTCTTGTCGTGGCGCGACAGTTTCGATCCTACTGCACCACACTCTGTGAACATTTGACCTCTCACTCTACTTTCGAAGCATTTATAATGGTTGTCGTATTAATTAATGACCTAACTATAGAACAGTACAAAGCAGTTCAGCACAATTCCTCCATTCGCAGCAAAATTCCTACTCAGGATTAAGCCTTTTAAAAATGAATTTCAACAAAGCTTGCAAATGAACCTACTGTCCGAAAGAACAACGAAAACAAATTGGGTATCGCCTAGCCTCTGCAAATTATTCCATAAAAGGTTTTTGACATTAATCAGTTCCGCTTTTTAAGATGCGCCACGCACTAAACTCTCGTTCAGGATCCCAGTGGCGTTTTGAATGCGTACTGCAGCCTATGCAATTATTTGCGGAACCAGCCGATGTCTAGGACATTGCTTTCATCGTCCCAGACTAGTCTTTTATCAAATAAGCGACCCCAGAAGGATAAAAGGCTCGGTGAGCTAGGCGGGTATCAGTCCGGGATTTGATTCCCGAACCAGGCTTGCGATTGCGCACCACTTGCCACTACACCAACTCCGTTCCAAATGCCTTCATTTAGTGTTTGAGGATTCTACGAGCTCCAGTAGAATGAACGACATGCAAGTGCATGACATATCTTTTGACAAGTATTTATTACTTTGCTTTCATCAGCTAATATAAAGACTCAGTTCCGAAAAAAGCCTGGCCAAAATCGGAAAAACGTCTTCTTTCAGCTACTTCGAATAACCCAGCTACTGTCGAAACGTCATCTGACCAGCCCTGATCGGGCACTCTCAATGTCTTTCCAGTGCAAGGAGAATTTGCGGGTGGTCCAACTGATATCACCGCTGTGCATATTGCTCTTCTTTACACGCCTCTGTCAATTTGGTTTTCGACTGTACGTCTACTATGTGGGTATCGGTTGGGGAGCTTTCTGTCTACGCTTATTAGCCCATATGTACAACCTGGTAAGTTCACAGTATTTCCGATGTTTAGCAAGGTTCATAGGCACAATTCTATGCCAGAAACGGTATTTCTAGTGCTTCTCCAAACGCTCCCTATTTCAGTCTCTGGCTCTGAGCGTTTTCCTGACGCCTCTGCTACTTATTATCCTACAACCACAACTGCTTGCTATCTTCTACAAAAGAGACTCTCGGAAGTTGAGTGTCTGTCAAGAGGACCACAACAAGAACACCGCCATGTATTTTGAAGATCTGAAGAAGACGTGGGAACAATGAGAGTATTGGCTCGTGTGCTGCTCAGCTGCCATATTATCGATTAGGGAGACGATATAATCAATATACCGCTGGGAGGGACCAGGTTTGAAGGATGCACGGTATGAGGGGTGCATGCAGGAGGCCACTGAATGGTGGATTAACCGCTTCATTCCTCTGGCCAAAGACCCTCCTGATAGTTACGAACAACTGTGAACCAAAATCAGTCCGATTACAAGGAAAGAAATGGGTAACTCGTCGAAATACTTGATGATTCGCTCGAACTTTGAATAAATATTTCAATTGTGATGTATTAACGGCATGGGTACAGATTCGTGAAAGTTGTTTTTCTAATTCTGACGCTATGAAGACACCTCCAACTCTCCGCAATTGCTGACATTAACTCGAATTACCTAGACTCCCAAGAAGTTCACTTGTTCTAAGAAACTTCGTTTCCTTCCAGCTTTACACCTTTCCGGGAACTCCTCCCTTTGCGCTTTTCTCGCACTCCAAAGTGAATTTAGCATGTGCAAATTACAAGCTGGCTACACTTTGAAATTTCCCATTTCCTAGTGGAATTCGATCACTACCTCTCATAGAGTAATGGTCAGGACGACCCTTTGTAAAAAAGCCTTTGCAAGAGGTAGAACCACCTTCTGTGGAAGGATGAGGTAACCACTTAACCTCCTTTATTTTACCTAGAGCAGCATGAATGATACTTCTTAAATTCGCTTTTGTGACACACTGCCTCGTCGGTAAGAAACACCCATTTCAGATAGAATCAGACGTGAGAAAACGGGCAACCTCTTCCCAGGGGTCTTCAAAATTTCAATAAACTCGAAAAAACTACATTCCACTCATAACTTGTCCAATTGAAGGCTGTTCATTCAATGGGAGTCCATTTAAACTAGGTATCGTATAGAAAAGAAGGCCTATTAATTGTGCACAATGGGGGCGAAGTAGTGTTATGGAGAGCGGATTGGTGAGCGATCATGGTTTCAAGTGTAAAGTTGCCTCAGCAAATAATGACCGAATTTTAAAAGGGTCGGTAATATAAAGGCAACTTTATTTTATCAAAAATGTAATAATGTAGGGAACATTGAAATTATGTGGGATTCGGATCGTCTTCACTGAAGGTTTCTCCTCATTTAATTCAGTCCGGTCTTTAGCCCGCTAGTGACCAAGCTACTGGGGAAGCGAATCGCGGACCAAAAGTCCTTATGCATCCTCACAAAAGCATCCACGTCCACTCTAGAATAGCCTGCCCAGCTACCCAGAGTCAACTCAGCCTTCACGTCAGAGCCTGACAAGCCACTCGTGGGAATCCATAAGTCGAAAACTGTAATATGAGTGGGCCTCATTCCCCTGAATTGAGGTAGAACCTAGTACGGCGTGGCGTGTTGGGTAGTACCGCTCGGGAGCGGCCGCTAAATCTCAAGGCAAGCAGGCTGCTCGAAAGAAGGAGGACCGAGATGGCGATTTCCCCAACGCAGGAACGTTTTGAAGGTCTATGATGAAAGCTAGGGATATCAAGAACGGCGTCGTTGTCGAAATGCTCCTCCTTTCGTGACAGACGAGCAGACAGACAGAAAGGCAGACGGACAGACAGATAGACAGACAGACGCCAGCACATTATAGATTGTAAGGATACGGGGTAATTTCCATCTTGCGGAGGTGGTGAAGTGACAAGTGGCGTACTATTACATACGGATGGTTCGAATTTCGGACTTATATTCGTCTTACATCTCACCGGGGTTGAGTAATTGGTACTATACTCGTCTGGAGGATAAAAACACTGATGTGTACACCGGCTTGCCACCGTTACTCACTGTAAAGGTCACATACGTATCCAAAAGCGTCACGACGATCCTGAATGGAAGACGAATGCGGGGGCGCATTCATCAGACAGAATTGGTCAACGCCCGCGAAGTTTATCCTTTCTTTCATGTCCCATACTATACTCTAGATCATATTCATTATCACTTTCATACTGAATATGTGATTATATAGGTGAAACAAACAATATTTGCAAATTATTCAATTCCGTAACAGATTACTGTAAAGGTTATTATATAATATTATGAGTGGACCCGTCATGACTAGTCATCAATTATGCAAATCTACAATCGTCGAAAATGTTGGCTAAATCCTGATGACACGAATTTTCCATGACTCATGATTGACTGGATGACTGGACTGTCTACATATGTATAATCTGATCGGACAAGGACACGCAGAGCATTCGTAAGCGGAGCCATAATCCCGGAGGTTCTACGGCAGTTGAGGCGTACCCATCGAAAGCGCCAAGTACAATAAGCTTTCCATTTCACCTCGAAAGCCACAAACTGAGCCATTCAAAAGTAACGATGTTGTAAGGCCACCCTACCCGGTATCGGCTAAATTGCTTGGGTGACTGGTTCAGAGCCTACTGGTAGCTCCATTTGAGTATATTAGGATTTGGATCATCTTTACAATTCTGAGCGGAGAATCGGGATGTGAGTAAGAAAGTCGTATAACTTCAGCTTGGTTTTGTACCTCAGTATTTTAAAAACCCCTGAGACTTTGATTCCAGGGAGAAAGCATCTCTCAAAACTTTATTTGCAATTCTTTTTTGTGAAAGTGCCTGCAGACTTTAAAGCTGGTAAAGGTTTATTTCTCCAGGTTTGGAACGATTTTAATGATTTTACAATTTTCTGACCTCTTCAAGTCACAAGATGAGGGAGACAGGTAGTAAGAATGGTTTTATGTAATCGATTCGCCGCACGCGGCTGTCGCGGACTATTCTTTCGCCGTTATTACAGCTCTAGCAATCTTCATACAGCTCAGTCGATATACAATCCTTATTTTAGACATGATTTTACTATTAGTTCCTCTGTTCCTGTATTTTTTATTTATTTTCTTTGTATTTGTTCTATATTCCTTCGCGCGCGGCGTCCCTCTCGCCGCGACGCGGCAATTCCGTTCCTATTGCACCACACCCACAAGTTGAGATAGGAATGGTGTAGGGACCAAATAAAGCCGTTCCCACACGTATGGTCAGGAGATCAAGTTCCGGTAGAATACAGGCTCACGACAACGAAGCCAACCTCCTATGAAGGATTACCTGATTAAATGGTGTTCCAACCGTCCCCGTTTCTAAAAGTCGGATCTGGTCTCGGCTAGTCTTCACACCTCACTTAGCTAATGAGAACTTTTAGCATTCAGGTACTTCTACGACCTACAAAGATGGGGAATGCGTGGGCGTATCCCAGATGGGATTGATCGACCATAAGACCATCAAGCTTTGAAAACTTCGACTCTCAACCGAAATCAGTTGGACACTTAGTCGACTAAGAAAATTTCACTCCAAAAATGGTATCATATGGAAAAACTCAAGGTGGGATTCAGCTGAAGTCTTCGGTACTCCCCCTGATGCACAGCCACTTCCATTAATATCAATCCAATCCATCTGACACTTATAATCTGCTACATTCTTGCCTGTCGCATCGAATCAACGGCTTACTTACACACACACTCACACTCACACACGGACCTCGGGCAGCAGCGATTCGATGTGCGGGTTCGTTTATGCAAATGTGTCCGGTCCAGACCGCCTCTTGATCCTATTCGGGTTGGCGCCGACGCAGCACGAATTCCATGTTTGTCATGCGAATCGTCACGATGGCTCCGTTACGTGCCCAGTTTTTCGGTACATCATCCAGTCTACACGTATGGCCACATACATTCTCCCCTACCCTCCACGCTGCTCCCCTTATTATTATATTATATCTATTATTATTATTAGGCTATTCCCACACTCCCACTTTCTTTCGCTCTCACCGACGTTTCCCAAACAATTCGTTCATTTTTTTATATTTGGGACGAATGCAGGGCCCACCCAAGCTGAAGAGATTGACCTACTCGATTGGCGGCTGGCTCAATCCAATGCCCAATGCTGTTGATGTTCACAAAAAATAATAAATAAATAAATAAATAAATAAATAAATAAATAAATAAATAAATAAATAAATAAATAAATAAATAANAATAAATATACTCTTACAGCTGCATATTTCTGTAGAAAACTGAGTCAGTGACTTGGGACTGTCCTTTATGAGCGTATATGCTAGCGGTTCTAAGGTTCCCGAAGTTCCAACTAGGATTTTACCTGGAAAGCATGAGGCAGCCTAAGTAAGCAGATGAGCCATGAGTTCCAAAAAACGAGCGATTTTCAAGAGGCACTCCATCCAATGAATTAATTTATACTGTAGGTGGTGGGTGGCTAAGAAAGGGGAGTAAAAAAGAGGTGAAATTACTCATTGCAACAGTTGGGCCATAATATGGTACATGACCTTACTAACCGTGATTTACGACGGCGACAAGTGCTGCTATCAGATGCGTCATCCGTAGATCGAATCTCGTCCAGTTGCGCCAAGACTACCATCCCTACAACATCAATTGATCGTTACCGCGTTTTTTTTCGGAACCACCTTCCTATGTTGAATGTCCGCTAACTTTTACAAGACCCCCATTAATTTGAGGCGTTTGAGGACTTCCGATATTTATTTTTCATTTCATAAGCCTCAAAGAAAATTAGCATGGTTAAAGCAATTTTATAAAATTTTTATTTAAAAAAATCTAATTAAAAGGTGAGTAAAACAACCGTCAGCTCAATTAGAAGCTTTTGTTCTCTTGTTGGCAGGGGACTATAGTGTTGCCTGACCCTTTTTCGGCACTCAAGAGGGTTCCATAGAAGGAAGTGCAAAACAAGGAAATATTATAGATGATAGATCAAAATTCTGACCAAAAGCTGATTTATCAGCCTTATTACTTTATTTATTAATTACCTACTTGTTAGTTTATTTGTTAACCTGGTGTCTAATTTTTAATTTACTGAATTTACAATCAAAGTGGAAATCGGCAAATCTCCTTCACAACGTGTTGGCCTCACGCAATTTCCATCCAATCCCTGGATTTTTCAGTATTGCTTAGACTTTTCAAAATATAAATTTTCAAATGATTGATTTCGAAACAGATAAGAAGGT